TCTAATAAGAGTTCAAGTATAGTACATACCATTAAAAAAAGGTTTTTATATTTTTTATTTGCTCGTTTTGGTGTAGCCATCTTCAAGGTAAATATTTCAATACCATATCACTCATATGCAAAAACAAGTAAAAAAAGGCACACCAATTACCCTAACTAATTGGCATATTCATCCAAAGATAAAAAGAATTTTATTTTAAATTTTGATTTTGGTCGTGTTCTAAGACATTCCGCAATTCTAATAATCAAATCATTAAGATTAAAATAGTTAGTTAAATAAAAACATACACCTAAGCTTCATAAAAAAGGTTAATTTATAATTTAAATTTTTTATTGACCTTTGATTGATTTGAAGTTTTTTTAATAATTTGAGTAGAAGATTTAAACCATTAAAGAGTCTACAAGCATAACATATAACTCTAGGCCAAAAAAATTAACATAAATAATTTTCTTAAAAAGAATAAAAAAGGCCAATTGCAGTACTACACCATAGAGAATAATAATAATAATAATAATAATAATAATAATAAAACAGTTAGGTTTTGCCATAATATATCATAACTTAATTTTATACACAAATAACATTAGCACTATGGATCTTCAAGTTTTATCTTCTGATACTTAAGGATTTCACCATTTGGTTTATCTTTCTGATTAATCTAACTATATATCTCATAAGTATAAATGACTTTGAAAATTAAAATTATATTATAAAATAAGACAAAAAAAAAAGGTTACAATAGGAATATATATATGGCCGCCTATAAAGTAGATATCACTCTCCTCAATTACTCATATTCAAACAAGTAAAACCCTACAACAATCCATCAATCACATACAAGAGAAAAGCACCATTAATTGCACCCCAACTTAGGGGCAAATTATTGCATCAGGTCACCTGACGGAGAGATCCGTTCGGATTCTCTCTGTCTACAGTAAAGCGCAGGTTACTGTAGCACACTTACGCTTTACTGTAGACAGAGAGAGATCTGAACGGATCTCTCCGTCAGGTGACCTGATGCAATAATTTGCCCAACTTAGGATGCTTATGGTGTGCCCATCACAATATCTAATATATGCTAAGTCATGTGGATGTCACACTCTACTTAAATGATGTTTTGTTCTATTATAAGATATGTAAGAGATTTAATTTAAGCTAAGGGCGATTTTTATTTAAGTGAGTATTGATTCAAAGTATTTGACTTACGAAGAGGTTTCTCATTGATTATCTTGATGAAAAGTTCTAGAAAAAAGATTAATAGTTATCAATATTCTATTAGCTTCACAAAGTAATTAAGAGTGTTTTTAAATGATTTTTAAAGGGCAATATTATAATCGAGTAGTATAATTATCTTCATTAAGTATCATCAAAATCTTATGTTATTTAATAAAAAAAATCTAAAGTATTAGGAGGAATTCTAATAAATTTAATATTTTCTATCTCCATAAAATGTGGCATCTTCCCATTTTGGAATGTCATTCTCAAGCATGAGAATTTTGGGCAAGGGGGTTTCTCTCTTCTTCTTAATTGGTGGAGCCTCATAGTGCAATAAATAGTTTAAAAATTCAAAGGGAAGAAGTTATGGCTTAACATCAAAGAGGAGTACACAATGATATAATTTTAATTTTCAAATTAAATAGCATAAATATGGTCCCATCCATGATAAAATTAGGCCAACTTTTCTCTTAATAAGGCTTTACCAAATAGTTACACTAATAAGCTGGAATTGAATGATGTAAGATACTTCTGCATTTTGCTTAGAGGTAGGGCAAGTTGACACTCTCCAATGGGACCTTTTGATGAGTTGCTTATTAAATAATTTTTGTATTTTATTTTAATTGTGAATAATGATTGCATTTATCTAACTTATATGATATGCATTTCTTTTCCATAATTATTGATACGCCACCAAAAAATCGACTTGATCCAGCACGAATCTTGAGACATATTTAAGTTGAAAAGTTCAGAAATTAAATATGAGGCCATGCAAACTTATAGTCAAATTGAACCTCTCGAAGATACGAACTTGACGACATCAAAATCGGTACAATCCGAGCCCAAATGGGTCCAAAACAACGAACCAAAGAGTATTTGGAAGGTTCAAATCATTAATTGGATGACCAAATAATCTTTATACTTGACATGCTTATAGTCAAATAGAGCGGCTCGACGAGACGACCCCAACGAGCCCAAGAACGTTTGATTCCAACATCATTATGGCACTTAAATTCTTGACGAACGCTCTATGACAAGGGGATTAATACGGGTCATCGATAGAGCACACCGAATTTGCCTTAGATATTTTCCATATTTATGGGATATGCCAATCTAAAAAATTTATAAATAGACCCCGACTTTCTACATGAAGATGGGCTTGGAGCTTGGAGCTTGAACCTTTGGCTGGAGATTAAAGATGGCTCTGAGGCTTCAAGGATCTATAGCTCCACTAAGGCACCACTGTAGGTGAACCTCCATCGATCGTCGTTGGACCACCACCTGGTCGCTGACCACCGCCGGACCACTGCTCGACTGCCGTCGGACTTCCCTAGAACCACTGCTCAATTGTTGACCATCGCCGGACCACCACCTGTCTGCCGACTGCCGCAGGACTTCCACCCGGCTACCAACCATCGTTGAAATTTTGCTTGACCAATGCCCGACCACCGCTTGGCCGCCGACAACGGTCCCTTAGACCACCAATGCCCGCCAACCATGTTCCCCCCAACCTCTGTTGCCCATTGACTTTGGTCTCCCCGGCCTCGGTAGCCCGCCGACTACGGTCCCTGCGACCTTGACAACCTACATACTACGGTCCCTCGCACCACCGTCATCCGTCGACTATGGTCCATATGACCACCATTTCCTATCGACTAAGGTCCCTTAAACCACTGTCGCCTGCCAACTACGGTCCCCTTGACTTCCGTCGCCCGTTGACTACGGTCTCCCTGACCTCTATTGCCTACCGATTGTGGTCCCCTAGACCTCCGTCGCCCGCCGACTACCTTCCTTCGAACCACATTCGTCTGCCGACTACAGTCCTTCCAACCACCTTCACTCGCTTACTACTGTCCCTCCGACCACTATGGCGTGCTAACTACAGTCCCTCTGAGCTCCATCGCCAGCCAATTATGGCCCATCTTAACTCGACCACCTACCGACTACAATTCCTCGAACCACCGTCACTGACTATAGTCCTTCCAACCACCGTCAAACTTTCTTCCTACCATCTCGAACCACCGCTCATCCGTTGACCACTACCGGACCACCACCTACATGCTGACCGTCGTCGGACTTCCACCTGGGTACCAACCACCATCAAAATTTCGCTTGACCATTGCAAGACCATCACTCGGCCACCGACTATGGTCCCAAGACCACCAACACCCACCGACCATGGTCCCCCCAACCTCTGTTGCCCATCAATTACGGTCCCTCAAAGCATTGTTTCCTATCTATTACGGTCCCTCGGACCACCATTGATTGTCGACTAATGTTCCTCAGACCACCGTCGCCCGCCAATTACAATCCCTCGACCTCCGTCGCTTGTCAACTACTGTCCCTCGAACCACCGTCTCTTGCCGACTACAGTCCTTTCAACCATCTTCACTCGTTCACTACAATCCCTCCAACCTCTCGTTGCCCGCCGATTACAATCCCTCTGACCACTGTTGCCCAACTATGATCCTATTGGTCGAATGAATAGGCCGACACTCTCTTGAGAATAACTTTCATATCAGTAGATTCTTCCAACTTCCACCATGTAATGTGCTCTATATGATATATATTTATTACATTATGGAAAGGTCTCCCCCCTATGGAAAGTGGAACAATTTGTACTAGGCCAGACTCATTGATTATTTTCCTTTTTAGGATTTTCAATATAAAAATCTTGATATCTCTTATACTCTCGCATCCCTCTCCTTTATCTTTGTGTCCTGGATCTTCATACAAATTTTGAATGTTAAACTCTATATCATTCTATTATCGCGAATGTTCTAGTTCTCAACAATTATATTAGGTTATCTAAAGTCTCTAATTCATCTCCTAAGTGTATAGACTTGTCTTCAACCCTTTGTTAAATCATTATTAATATGGTTCCATGAGGAAACCCATCACTTTTATGCCTCTTTATATTTCCTCCTAAACTTAACAAAAACAGAGCTTGAGGCGCATTCGACTTCTATCTGCAAAGGACAAATCTCAAAAGCAAATTCAGGATAAGAATGACAATAAAAATGCAAAGTAACTAAAACTTTGGCTTCATTTGAGAAAGTTTTATACCACCATTTTTTTTTATAGATTTAAAAAAAAAAATTGTAGTGAAAAAAAAACAACTTTTTTATTCAAAAATATCATGAAAACAATTAAAAAATCAATGCCGCAAAAACTATCTCAAAAGAAACCTTAAAAAGTAAACCACAAATCATGTATTTATAGACAATAATGTTGGCCAACTGTGTTTATGATATATGCTTTCTAATAAGCCAATTCTCCAAACTAAATCATGGCCATCCAATCCGAATTTGGTTTTTAGAATATTTTATTTGCCTCTCCTCCATTTCATGAAAGGGATAATAATATTGAGGAATTGATCTACACCTATGTGTTTGGGTCAAGGTAATCAACTTATTATGAGAGCTTCAACTTTGTGTAACAAATCATTGATGGTGGATCAATTTAGACCGCCTACAACTCAGAAAATCACTTATCACCCTGATTTAGTACTGAGCTAATAAACTCACCCAATGGCTCAAAAAGTAATCTCTTCATTAACGCCTCGTTTGGGACGGTTTTTTTGCTGCTTCTTAAAGCAGTTTTTTAGTTAAAAAATTTTAACTTTTGTATTAAAAAGCTGCTTTAAGAAGCAAGAGGAAAGCCGTCCCAAAAGAAACCTATACTATTCACCTAAGAAATGGAATAAAAAACTATTTTAAAAAGATATAAGAAAGCTATCCCAAAGGAAGCCTTAAACTTTATCTCTCAATAGTTAATTGCACCTTTGAGCTCAATTTATATCTCTAATAATGACTCAATTCATATCTACGTCGTATAGAGGCCAATCAGAATGCGTCACGTCACTTTTTTACTGTACTGTAGCTTAATACTGTTCGGTACCTCAGCTCGATATACCGTCGCTCTCGGTACCACGACATTCGGATGTAGCGCTGCGTCCCCCATCCGCACAGAATAATTTCTGGACGGTGGAGTCAACAAAGCTCGCTAAAATAAGCGATGAGCTCAGCAATGCATCTCAAGCAAGAAGAATTCCATTCCCACAATCACTGCATACAAACCGCAGTAACACTTTGTTAAACTCATAACAAAGAAAAAACTACTGATTCCAAATCATCAATCTCCCCGAAACAACATATATATACAGATATCCGTTACAAAATTGTTTCTTAGCAGCTTTCACGATTGACAAATCCTTCCAACCAACAATACAGCATATGCAACACACTACACAGCTTCAAAGGAAAGCAAAGTTTCTGAATTGCAGAGGAACTCACATACCAGCAAGTAGTACTCATAGCAACTAATCGAGGAAGCCCGTTTTCTGAAACACGGCGTTCCGCACCCGACAGAGATCCCTACCCTTCAGGGTTCTCCCCACTCCCTCGAAAACAGAGAAAGTCGTCACGTGCGATCTCGCAACGATCACGTGCGGCGGCAGCATCTCGTCCTCGGGATCGTCCTCTACCTCGCCGTCAACAACTTCCATCAACATTCCGGAAGGCATTCGCCGTCCTTTCGGCCAAACCGGTACGTTCACCGGCGCCGATTGATGGAAGACCTCACTGACCTCCGCCGGTAGCCGTTTTCTCATAGGCACGTTGGCCACCGACCGGCGATGATGCATCAGCGGCCTGCGATCCTCCGTTAGGGCAACGGCGAGCCCTAATTTCTCCGATAGGAAAGGGAGGCTTCGGTGATCGCAGGGGGAGACGGGTGAAGAATCGCTGATGGGGGAGGAGGGGATGGTCGGGGTCGGCTGCTCAATTACAGATGAGAGATCAGAGTAGATGTCCGGCGACCAGACGACGTCGCCTTCGTCGAGCTCATAGTGGTTCCCGGGGATTGGAGAGGAGTTCGGATGGTCGGCGAAGCCTAGGAAGCGGAAGGAAGAGGAGAAGGGAGAGGCGTTCTTGCTGTAAGGGGATGAAGGTAAGCTCACCGCGATGGTCCCATCCTCCGCCATTGTAAACTTCTTTGAGCTCGTCGCCTTTCGGCTTCGCTCCATCTCGGCGGTTCTATTATAACCCAGCAATGGTCTAGGTTAGCTTATGCGGTTCCCAAGCGGCAGGATACCGCTCGCAGTAAGACTGTCAACGGGTCGGAATCCGATCCGACCCAAATATTTTTCTGCTCGGGTTGGAATTCGGGTTTGCTCATCTCGTTGTCAATTGAGTGATGAGAACATATTTGCAATTGAATTAATTCTATTGAAATAAATGTTAAGCATAATATTTAGAAGGAGCTCTTAAATTTCTTGGTGGAATTTGGCCAAAGTTTAGCAATGATGTGATGGCTTCAAATTAATATTGGGAAAAAAATTTGATATCCAAATAGATTTTGTATCAAGTGAAGACTATTTTAATGACGTGTGTTCTTGATTTAATGCGTCATATATTATCTTTCATTTAAACTTAACAATTAGATTATACTTGTGTTGGACTTAGATTTGTTCGTTTGTTGATGTCCGACTATACTCAATGAACCTACCAATGAGCTAAGGACCTATGTGCGATAAAGATAAAGACAGAGAAGAAAGGGAAGAGAGAGATTTAGTTTGAATATAATATTTATTATCCCAACCAAAAATACATAATGAGAGATGGAGAGAGCTCTATCCTATATAGCTTAAGTTAAATTAGGAAAAACATCTCTCTCTCTCTCTCTCTCTCTCTCTCTCTCTCTCTTGGTATCTTTTGTATTATCGCTCGTGTTGTGGTCTCGATATCTCTTCTTTTTCATGTATCCCCTCCCCATATTTGTAGGGTTTGGAGATACAATATAATGTGTACATAGTACAAGAGTTGTTCTATAAGTTTTTGATATAACTCGGCTAGCTGTGTTGAGTAGTGTGGTGATCTTGTGGGAGATGATGCATGTGAGATGTACTCGTAGGAGTTTAGAGATCCAGTCGACGTGAGGTAGGAAGACAATCTGATATTGCCCAACTAGAGTGAGAGAGGGGCAAGCAGTGATTTAACATTGATCTCTGAGCTCGTTGATGATCTGATAATGAGAGATATCTTTTGAATGTGATGTGTCTTTAGCTTGATTTTTGATAGGTCTTGCATAGAAGACTCGATTTTGACTAAGACGAATAAAGACTTGTATGATTGAGATAGAAACTTCTGAGGTCGCTATGACTAGGAGGGCAACTACTTCGAGGAAGTCGCCAGAGGAGGTCCACCATGCTCCAGTGATAAGCTCTTTCCCAGCTCCTGAGCGAGTCTCTCGAAAGGGTTGTCTAAAGAGATTTCTCCTTCAGCGTGACATGAACGTAACCTGCAAAATACCTTTGAGAGGGTACATGTACAAATAATCATGGGTGTACAACATGTATTGTTGAATAAATATAAATAAAGTATTAGATAATAAAATTAAATTATTAGATATTTACAAATATAATAGTGACAATAAAAAATAGCGTGATTGTCTAATAAATTAATTGTGTAATTTAATAATTCAATTTCTTCTTTTTTTTTTTTTGTCCATTCAGTTTTATTATATAATAGTTTGCATCTAGTGAGAGACAATACATAATGTATGAAATTAATAACATTTACAAATAAAATTTGTATCATTTTAATATAAAATGTATCAAGATATTCTAGTAGAATATTCTATTTAATATTATTTGATAAAAATATTTATACATTTATTAGATTTAGCCAACTTTATGTCATAATTTAAACTTGTTGTCTACCTAAACATTTGTGGGGGTAGTGTTAGATAGTTTATCAACTTATTTTTGTACAAAGATATGGCGATATTACTAGGTAGAGTTTCATGATATAAGGCTTCTGAGCTCTTTTAAATCTCAAGTTAAGGTTCCCCCTCCTTTTTATAGAGAGTGGAGTTCTATTTATATATTTTAATGAGTGGTGTACCATAGAAATACGACCAACTTTAGAAATACCGCATCAAATGGTCTGTATTGATTTCCTAAATTATAAATCATTCATTTAGCATTTAAATACATTAATGATTTCAAAATTAAGTGATATTAGGTTTATTATATTTGAATCATCAAGGCACTTGATTTGACTATAAGCATGTGATGTTTGTAGATATTTTGATCCTCTAATATGTGAGGAAGTTTCTTATTATGTTTCGAATGTGTAATATAGGTTTATTCAAAACTGGATCATATCAAACATATTGTCATTAAGTTTGTTGCATCCCAAAACATTCATGAGGGTAGAGAGATATTGAGTTTAGCATCTTAGTTTTGAAAGAAGATCCAGCACACATATACAGATAAATAGAGAGGGATACAATATTCATAAGACATATTTGAGTTTTTACATGAAAACCACTTAAAATTGGGGAAAACTATGGGGTCTTGCCTAGTTGAAATGATTCTACTAATATTTATTGTTAATTACAAGTGATGCCCTTCCTTGGGGGAATGTGTTGGCTCAGTGTAACAAATATACATTATATAAAGCATAATACATAATTAAACTTGGAAGAATCTGGTGGCATGAGAGTTATTCTCAGGGGACTATTGGCCTGCTCGTTTGGTCAGTATGATCGTAGTCAGGCAACGGTGGTTGGAGGACTGTGGTCGGGTAACAGTGGTTGGAGGGATCATAGTCAGTGGGCGATAGAGGTCGAACAGACCGTGGTCAATGAATGATGTGGCTATACTACACCGTAGTCGAGGGGCTGCGGTGGTCGGAGGGATCGTATTTTGTGGGCAATGGTGGTCGGAGTGGACCGTAGTCGACATGTGATGATGGTAGGAGGGACCGTAGTTAGTGGACGATAGTGGTCGAAGGAACCATAGTCGGCAAGGATGGAGGTCGGAGGGACCATAGTCGATATGTGATGAAGGTCGAAGGGATCATTGCTCGTAGCCGATAGAGGTCAGACACACCATGGTCAACGAGCGATGGTGGTCAGAGAGGACCATAGTCTATATGTTACGGTGGTAGGAGGGATCATAGTCATTAGGTGATTGTGGTTGGAGTGGACCGTAGTTGGCATGTGATGATGGTTGGAGGGATAGTAGTCGGTTGGTGACGGTTGTTGAAGGGACCATAGTCAGTGAGGACGGAGGTCAGAGGGACCATAATTGATATGTGACGAAGGTCGGAGGGATCATAGTCCACGGGAAATAGAGGTCGAAGGAGTGGGGGTCTATTTATAGATTTTGAGAATGATATGCCCCGTAAATATGGAGAAGATCGCGAGAAAATGCAGAGTGCTCAATCAAACGACCTGCACTAATCACCTCGATCATAGATCATTTATCAAGCATTTATGTACCTTAATAATGTCAGAATTGAGCAATTTTGGGCTTGTTAGGTTCATCTCGTCGATCCGCTTGATTCAACTATAAGCATGTCATATTTGGATGTCATTTAGTCATCCAATTAATATTTTGAGCCTTCTAAATGTGCTTCGATCCCTTTATTTGGAGTAATTTGAGTTCGGATTGGGCTGTTTTTTGTGTCGTTTGGTTCATCTCCTTGAGATATTCAATATGACTATAAATTTGATGAAATCAAAGCTCGGATGGTCCCAAATATAATTTTGAAAGTTTCTAACTTTGAAATGCTTCGAGATTCGTGCCCGACCAAGGCAATTTTTGCTGATGTATCAAGGTTCTTCTCATCGAACAATTCAATTTGATTATAATTAAGTTTACTGAAGTTAGAGTTCAGACGTTCCTAACTTCCTATATTTAATTTTGGTTGTTTTTAATTAAAATATGCATCGAAATTCATGCCAGATCAAATTGATTTTTTATGATAGCTTAAGGCTTCGTTTGGGACGGCTTTTTTATTGTTTCTTAAAGCAGCTTTTTAGTACAAAAATTAAAATTTTTGTATTAGGAAGCTGCTTTAAGAAGCGGAAAGAAAGCGGTCCCAAATGAAGCCTAAGTATAAATTAATAAATTTAAATTTTAACTCTATTGTTTATTTATATTTGTGGTCATACTCTTTTAAGAGAGAACCGATTTAAACTCAACAAAATCATCATTTAACTCTTTTTTTTTTTTAATTTCCCCCAAAAAAAACTTTTTTTTTTTTCAGTAGCTTTATTAAAAGCTCATGTGATATCCTTGTATTCTTAGCATGCAGTTTAATTGAAATATAATAATAGAGGTATAAATATAATAAACATTTATTCTAAAACTCTTTAAATTATTTATCTAATTTAATCAAATTTTAATTTAAATAAATCATTACTATTTGTCATAGATTTATCACATATATAAATAAGGGGTCTATTTGGACTGCTATAACTTTTTTAAATGTGAAGGTAAAACTATTTTGGTGAAATATTCTTTTAATATTGTTATAGAAAATAACTTTTAGCATTAAAAATTATTTGAAAACTAAAAAAAAAAAGGCAAATATAAATTGCAGCTGTTTTTGAAAATCAACCAGAACTCATAAACCAATCCATTGTAGAACAAAATAAAAGTCCAATGACCTAAAACAAATTCCATGAGTGCAGTTAGAGGTGTAAACGAGTCGAGTCAAATATCTATCTAATCAAGCTAAGCTTATTTAGTTCTTTATGAGTTCTGGTTGAGCTCGTTTATTAAGCTCGAGCTCGGCTCATTAAAAAATTTATATGCTCTGCCCTGCTCGATTACTCAAGCTCGTTTGAAAAGCTTGAGCATGACTAGATTGTTAAGTCTGGTTTCTTAATTTTAAATTAAAATTATTTTTTTAAGAATTTTATTTAATATAGAATCAATTTAAAAATATTAAATATATTATATAATACTAATTTGAATTAATTTAGAAGTATATTTTAAGTTAATTGAGCGGCTCAACAAGCTCACAGGACGAGCCAAGCAAAATTTGAGCTCTAGCTCTTTTAACATACGAGCTCGAGCTCAGACTTATTGCATGATAAGCTCGATTCATGAGTTCACTAATGAGTTACGCTCGAATTAGCTTGACTCACTTATACCTCTGACTAAAACCACTAAGATAATTAAAGAAGAATACAACAACAAGGCTTTATCCTGCTATGTTAGGCCAGCTACATGAATCATTTTTC